ACTTAAATACCGGGCTTCACTTTGCATGGTGTGGGGCTTGAACCTGCGACCTAAGCCACAAATCCTCCACCTTTTGCCACTTGAGCTAGGCCTTGGGGGCTAGCTAAGCATTTTTAAGTATTTCATCCTTCTTTTGAAATACCCGTGTGATGATGGATATCATAATTGCAACTTGCTAGTTCATAATCAACTTTATATTATCACATTCAAAATTGTGTATGAAATCATCAAATCTAAACAAATTATGTACACACAATTCCCATTGCCCCGCAAGGAATTAACTCAAACACTCTTACATAACATCAAAACCAAGTGAGCTGATACTATTATGTTGCTAACCTTGTCAGCAAATCCATATCCACTTCCCTTCGAGGAGCTACCAGATGACACCGGACTGATGGAAAGCAGTACGATACCAAGTGAGACAACAATAATCAAACCAAGCTCAAGCTAGTATTTGGCCATAGATTTTGGATCAACTTTTGAAAATTTCATCTTCAAATCTCTGTTTTGCAGAAATTTGAACTTCCATTCAAAAAGCTTCAAATATTTTCCAAATAAAATGCATGTCCAAACACAACTTCAAAAAATCAAATTTTCAAGTTTTAACTTCAAAATCTATGGCCAAACGCGTGAGCTATTATCCAAAAAGGTAATCAATCACATTGAGCCTCTATAATACCTGCTAGAGCTCTTAGGTGTATCAAGATCATCTCTTTCTTCCAGAACTAAATCAAGTCTATCAATTTGCACAACTATTGGCTCTGTTTGCACATTGCTTACTGACGGAAGCTTGAGTTGAAAAACCAAAGTTAAACAAAAAAAGGACAGTTATAACAATAGACAATTAGACTTCAATGTTTTTTAAAAAATGGGGGCAGAGGGATTACAAAGCGGAAAATCAAACCCTCACCAAAAAGATGAAAGTTCAGATTGCCAACAAACCAACTGAGCTAATAAAGATCATTTTTTTTTTTGTATTTTCATTCATAAAATAATGAATCTAGCAATCCAAACATCAATAAAGAGAGAAAACCACTAACAATGATCTCCAATTTCCCAACTTTCGCTGTTGTAACATTCAATGCCGGTGGTAATCCCGTGCTCGCATGTAAAGCATCTCCATTTATATCTACGACAAATCAATCAACAATTTTTCAGATGTATAATTAAGTAACAAGCTTCAAATAACATACTCTCTCTGTCCTAATTAATGCGGCCAGCTCGAATTTCCAGAGAATTTTACATATTTAGAAACTACAAGTTATAATTGACGATTCAATAAATACTTTGTTGAATCTCGAAATTCGAAAAGCAACAAGAAGAAAAAACCGACCTAAATTAGAAAGTTGCGCCGTACGTCCCTGCAATTTGAACTGATCTCGGGTAAATGACTTTAACCAATACTTCAATGTATACTCCAATGCTCTAGCCAGTATCGACTCCATCTCTCACCAGATCTAACACAACGGATAACTTCACCGGCACCGGAAAACGACTGCGGCGGCCGGGTAGTGTGAATGTGATCTCTTTCTTCAGACGAAGAAATGGATATATGGATTGGTGAAAACGGAGGAGTCGGTAGCACGTAGGAATCACGTGCGATAGAGATTCGGTGGGGCCTGGAGCAGTATTATTAACTTTCGGTGATGGTGTTGAAGTAATTTTCTACAATTATAGTGAATTGATTGATGATGAATTTATTTTCTGGGGAATGATGAAGATTTGAAGATGATTGTGGGCGGATGTATGAATGTATTGGATCTGGGAAAAATGAGTGGTGTTTTTGTCAGGAAGAGGACAATGGATGCTACGGTGGACGGAAATGTCAGTATTGATCATCACATATGTTTTGTTTCTTCATGTTGTATTTTTTTTTTTTGGTTTTCCCATCGGGTCCGGAGCGCTCCGATTAAATTTGAATCGCACCCTGCAGGGCTCATTCGAGGGTGACGCTCTCAACAGGATTTTCTTCATGTTGTATTTAATATGCTTGCATTAAATAATACTCGTATTGGTTATATTGATATTATTTCTTATACACAATTTGGTTTAATGCATTAGAATTAATAAGTGTTGCATAATTTCAATAAATTACAAAAATATCCTCCATTTTTTAGCTTAGTTATGTCATTAATCAATCTAATGCATGTGTTGAAATTCTTTATATTACGGTAATACACGTATCAATACACAATATAGTGTATGACTAATATATAGGCTTAAAAAATGCATCAAATAATAATGCAAAATAGGGTGCATTACATTAGTTATGCAAGCATTATTTCTTACACATTGTTTGATTTGATGTATTAAAAATAACAAATCTTGCATAATTTCTATTAAAAAATATATGTTTACAAAAATGCCCTTTACACTTTATTTATTTGTACACTTCCTTTGCAAAAACATCAAAAAAATATTTCTTTGCTAAAACATCATTAACTCTTCATTCTTCTTTTTCTTTTCTTTTTCAAAAATAATATTAAATAGTTATACTATTGAGTCAAAATACTTTTGTAAAAAATTGGCAATTTTTTTTTTTTTTTGTCTACATTGAAAACAAAGCATTTAGGTTGTCATCAAATACTAATAAAATATAGGGAAGTAATGCAATCAACTCAAGAAGAAGATAGTAATTTACTAGTTCACATCTAATTATTACTTGGCTATTAAGATAAATCAACTAAGATCAGATTCTTTTACAACAAAAAAATTCTACCTTCATTTTTTTTAATCATATTTTAAGGATGAATTTATGTACTACTAATTAAGAAAAGCATAACGAATGTAAAAAAAGAATAAGTTTTGTTTTTTTGAGTTAATAACTTGGGGTGAAGCAGTGGACTGCTTAAAATTTATCGTCACAATAGTAAAATTTTTAATTAAACTATATTGAAATTAGATTTTATTTTTTTAAGATACTTAAGAGGCCATAAAGCCTATTAAGACACCAATAAATTAAAAGACACTTAAAAAAAATCAACATAAAAACAAAAACTTATGACAACAAAGACTTTAAGGGTAGTTTTGTAATTATTTAATCTAATGCAAGTGTTAAAATGCTATGTATTACTAATACCTAGAATTCCTTGGTATTAGTAATACACAACTTAAAGCATTAGTTATACATGGCATGAAAAAGTGTACCAAACAAAGTATTGCTAATACACACATCTAATGCATGCATTATATTCCTAATACACTCTACCAAACGACCCCTTAATGTATGCATTATTTTTTTCTAATACATTCTACAAACGATCCCTAATAAGATACCCAGTCAGGTAGTATCCCATAATGCAATAGGAGTGATGAATTCATAATTTTCACTAAAAAGTTCGAAATATGAAGAAGTAAACACAAGAAAAAAATGAAAAAAGTTTAACATCTATCATATATTCGTAAAAAAAAAAAATTCAATCATTTATAACTGACAGGATCATACCCTTGTCAATGTCTTTCAGTTGAGTTTCTTACCTAAAGCAATTTACATTGTTTATGTGATTTGTCAATTATTGTATATGAATAAATTTACGTTTACAACTTTCTATAAGTCTTCAAAAAGAGAACCAAAAGTACTTGATATGATTCTATAAGTCGGTTTATAATATATATATATATATAGCCTTGTAATTTCATAAATAAGTCTGGAAAGAATAAAATATACGTAGAGCTTACTCTATCTTAAAACAAAGATCGTTTATGATATATAATTGATTGAAGAACCTTTTTGAGAGAGCATGTTTGAAACAAATGGAAGAATAAATAAGTAATGATGAAAACATTATTTCATGAGTAATATTAAAAGTAAAAATAATAATAATACTAATTTAATAATAAAAAGGTAGGGGAGAGCGTATGATAAGAATTATAAAATTGATTTTGCTACGCCTTAGCTGTTACCACTTTACCATTCCACTAATCAAGCTTCCTGATTCTAATCTGTAATTGTTTGCCTTTTACTCCTTTTTTCATTTTGATAATCATTTTCTTTCTTTATGAATTTATTTACATGTTAATATAAGCTGATTGGCTGTAAATTGTAATACTTTATTTATTCTGGTTTTAGAAGTTATCATTCCATGCGTTTACTGCAATATACTTGCCTGCAGTAGATTTTTGCAACTTTATTTTGTAGATATGTACACTGATTTTTGCCACCAGATTTTGTAGACATTTGTACACTTAAAATTGGACTAGGTGGAATTTGACTGTGGAATCTCAGTTCGATTATCTATGTCGGTTGTGTTAAGTTCGGTACAAAACACAGGAGAACTTTGCCCTTTTACTAGCTGCGAAACTATACAAAGCTATAGTCAATAGTCTATACTTCTTGTTTTAATGACAATTGTTGGCAAGTGGGGTATAAACTTCAATTCATTTGAACTGTGCATATATGATATGTTTTTTTTAGATATTTTTATAATCGTGGTGTGTGGTATTTCTATCTACAATAAATACAAAAGCAAATATCTTCTTCTTCTCCTTTTACCTTATGTTTACTTGGCACCAGTAACAATTGATCTATCTAACATAAATAAAAACAAAAGAAATGTCCACTAGGACCCCTACCATCACAGCACCAAATTACCTTTTATATGCTCGTACGCTAAAGAGACCTTTCTTTCCTTCTATTGGCGGGATCAGTTGTGTATAAGGTCCTTTCCTAAAAGAGGTCAAATAGTTCAAGTGGTTTGAACGCACATGCACATAACATCAAAGAAAGGAATGGGAAATAGAAAAATTGGTCACCTCATCAAGCTCATAATCAGTTGCGAAACTATCCTCACATAATCAAAGGAACATTGCTCCCAGGGATAAACTCATCAATCTGCTTCTTTTTGAAGCTAGAGAGCTAACAGAACATCTCGAAATTGGCCACACAACTGAAGTCAGGAATCAAATATCATTATGATCGGATTGAATGTGAAAAGATAAAACTGGAAAACTAGTACTATTAGATGTTAAAACAGTATTTCACAGTAAACACAAAGCTATAACGTAAATCATTGCTAGTTTTAATTATAAGCTAATGTCAATAACATTGTCTACCAAATGAATCATGATTGAACTTGCAATCTCAAACACCAAAAAGGGACTTTTGTCTCTTAATCATCGAAAATGTTCATGTCTCAGAGAAATAGGTGCTTTGAGTTCCTCCCCAATATGCCTGAGGATTTGATAGCTCAATCCCTTGTACTGGTGTGTGAAGGCAAAACTCGAACTCATCAGGCCTGATGTGGCTGCTGCACCACTGCTTCCATAACAGTATATGTTGCTAAAAACATTTTTTCATGCCCTTTTGTATATCATTGACATTATAATGTCCTAGAAGCATAGGTAGACCCATGTGCGAGCATGGATGCATATGCACCTGTTAACTTCATAAAAAAAATATGTAAATACAAAAATGAGTTTAACACACAATGTGATTATGAGCTAGTCGAGCCATTGATTTTAGATACCAAAATTTAGTTAATATATATTATGACAATATATTTTATCCGTCACAAAATACTTATCATATTTCGCTTTTCAATAGTTAAACTAGTGAACTTATACCAACATTTAAGATCCATTTTTCATCAATTTGCTATGAGAAGAAGAACAACTTATAATATTTTTCGTATAGTATTAAGTTAATAATGACAATGGAGTCAGTCATACTTGCTGATTTGGCTTAACATCTCCTCTGTTTATAGAGGTAAAATCCTGTCATGAAGTGAAGAAGCGCTCGTAATCCTGCAGAATCAAAATAGTAATAAGCAGATTGTAAAGAACAAAACATGACAAGATCCACAAAATGCATGATTTTTTCTACATGCCTGGACGAGCACCTTCTGTGATGTGCAATTTAGCGTTAAACTCTAGTGGACCATTTAGGTGATCAGTCCTCTGAATCGTAATCTGATAACAATGTGAATCCAAGAAATCCATTAATATCAATCGTCTGTATGCCTCAAATCATAACCTATGATCATAGAAAGAAAATTGTGAGCCCAATTTCAATTACATCAGCCTCTCCAGATAATCCTTCAATGAATCTCTCCCCACCAAAAAATACTCGTCTTTATCCATCTTCATCTCTCTTGTTACTCCACCCTTGAGAGCTTCCAAATTTTGCATCCACAAACATATCGGGATGAGGTGACAGGTCAATAGATAGATGTTCCCACTTAAGTTTCTGTTATTAAAAGAAAAGTAGATGATGCAACACCACACAATGATGCAAACATGAGAAGAATAAATTGGGAAATTTTCTAAATAGTAGAAAAGGAAATGTAATTACTTTGAACACATATATGTTCTCCTTGCCTCTAGAGTAATTCCTAGCTTCCTTTAGATTTACAACCTAGTACATTAGCATATTGTTTGAGTCATTCTTAAGCAACAACTACACAAGTCATCTCATCTAAAATAAATGCAACTTACCTCCCATTTCTCATTTGTAGTATATAGAAGAAGATTGCGTATAGTGATTGATGCCATAGGTGCCCTGGTGAAATAATCAAACAAGAGAGCGAGAAAACCAAATCACGTGACTGTCTGAAACCAAACCTAACAGGTAAATAAAATGCTCACAAGTTTTTGCTAAGAGCCTGCCAAAAGATGCAAGGGAATCTGAGCATAAACAATAGAATGTGATTTATAAGTTTGGAGCCTTTAGACTTACCATTTTGCACTCAATGTTTGAATGTTGTCAAATAGAGTGAAGTGATATATTGGTGTAAAAAGGAAATTATTCAAATAGTAATGGTAAATTGTTATATCGCCATTTCTCAGGTTTAGATGACCCAACCGACCAATCAATGATGTTCAAAAACTACTTGTCTGATGTATTTGACAGACTTGTAAGCATCTACAGGTGGAGAGTGCAGAACTGGTTCCCGTAAGCAAAAGAAACAGGAAAAATAGGATATACTATAAAGAATTAGGAATGAAGGTATTGAACACTTACCAGCTAGCGCTTGCTTCTCCTACGCGTTGAGCACCTCCGTGAGTTTCAAATAGAAGATTAACCGTATGGACTTGTAAGGTCATGCCATCTGCAATCTAACAATAAAAGACCAACACACAAGATCACTCATCTTGAAAGGTCACCCAAACCTAATCTATTTCATTTAAACACAAAAACAAATGAAATAAGAAGAGTAGTGATGAATGTAGTACATAGAGAAATCAGTTAAATAGTATCTATTAACTCAAACACTCTTACATAACATCAAAAACCAAGTGAGCTGATACTATTATGTTGCTCACCTTGTCAGCAAATCCATATCCACTTCCCTTCGAGGAGCTACCAGATGACACCGGACTGATGGAAAGCAGTACAATACCAAGTGAGAACAACAATAATCAAATCAAGCTCAAGCTAGTGTTTGGCCATAAATTTTATCGTCAAATATATGCTTAAACTTTCATTCTAAAAACTTCAAACAATGTTGAGCCTCTATAATACCTGCTGGGACTCTTAGGTTTATCAATATCATCTCTTTCTTCCAGAACTAAATCGAGCCTATCAATTTGCACAACTATTGGCTCTGTTTGCACATTGATTACTGACGGAACCTTGAGTTGAAAAACAAAAAACAAAAAACAAAAAAAAAAGGCAATTAGAACATAATAGAGATCAAATTTCTGATTTTTCATTCCGTAAATTATGAATCTAGCAATTCAAACATCAATAAAGCGAAAAACCACTAACAATGATCTTCAATTTTCCAACTTTTGCCGTTGTAACATTCAATCTCCGTGGTAATCCCGTGCACGTATGTATAGCATCCCCATTTATATCTACCAAACAAATCAATCACCAATTTTTCAGCTCTATAATTAACCAACAACCTTCAAATAACATACTCTCTCTGTCCAACTCGAATTTTACACATGGATAGCATGATTTGAAATCATAAATTGAAGTTTTATTTGGTTATCTTACATATTTTCTCTCTACAATAATACAAAATAAAGCAAATATACTATCACTAAGTTATTCTAATAAAATACAATATTTATTTATCAAACTTTAATTCAATTAAAAAAAAAAGTTGAACATAGTTTTTAATATAATCCTCGCATAAAATACCTACAGTCTTTCACATTGAATTTGCATATCTCGATCATATGATTGATAAGACGAACCAACATTGTTACTTAGGACCATTTGTTGCAAAATAATGAATTTGGTGAATATAAATAGAAAATTAAGAATTAATTTGAATAATAACAAATTTTATATATGTTGGTGGAAATAATAGTTACATAATAAATAAATAAATGATTAGTATTTTTTTTACAAAATATAAACTTGTGCATCAATTTTTATATTTAAAATTTCCAAACCATGTTTTTTAGAAAATTTGAAATTTAATGTCATGATTTTATATATGACATGTCGAAACGCCTACTTAGTAACTACAAGTTATAATTGACAATTGAAACATGTTAAATCTCGAAATTGGAAGGGAATGAGTATCAATTAGAAGAAAAATTCAACCTAAATTGAAAAGTTGCGCCGTATGTCCCTTCAATTTGAACTGATCTCGGGTAAATGATTTTAACCAGCAGTTCAATGTATACTCCAACGCTCTAGCCAGTATCGACTCCATCTCTCACCAGATCTAACACACCTTTAACAGAACGGGAAAGTTCACCGGCACCGGAAAAAGACGGCGGCGTCCTGGTGGTGAGAGTGTGATCTCTCTCTTCAGACGGACAAATGGATATATGAATTAGTGAACGGAGGAGTCGGTGGCACGTAGGAATCACATGCGATAGAGATTCGGAGGGAGGAGACGTGACTGTAGTATTATTCCTTCCCGTTTCTATTTATACGTTGTCTAGATAATATATTTGTCATTTTATAAAATTCAAATTATTTTCATTGTTAATTTAATTAATTAAAATAAATTAATTTCGTACATTTATTAAAAACTTGACGCAAAGATGAACATCACCTTTTAGAAAGCTTAGTAGAGGCTGTTTTTTAGATAACTTTTTTATAATTGTGGTGTGTGGTAATTTTCTATCCACAAAAGCAAATATCGTCTTCTTTCTCATTTTACCTTATGTTTACTTGCACCTGTAACAATTGATATAACATCAATTAAAAGAAGAGAAATGTCCACTAGGACCCCTATCATCACCATTTACATGCTCGTAGGTAAAAGAGACCTTTCTTTGCTTCTATTGGCGAGATCAGCCAGTGTCTCTGTATGTAAGACCCTTTCCTGAAAGATGTCAAATATGTCAAGTGGTTTGAATCCACATCAACATAACATCAAAGGAGGAAATGCGGTATAAGAAAATTGATCACCTCATCAGGCTAATAATGAACTTGAAGATTGCAGGTTCGATACTATACTCACATAATCAAAGGAACATTGCTCTCTAGGATAAACTCGTCAATCTACTTTTTTACTCTAGAGAGCAACATCTAACAGAACATCTCTGAATTGGCCAAACAATCAAAGTCAGGAATCAAATAGCGTTTAGTCGGATTGAACGTGAGAAGATAAAACTGGAAAAACAGTAGTATTAGATGTTAAAACAGTAATTTCACAGTAAACATAAAGCTATAAAGTAACTCATTGCTAGTTTTAATTATAAGCTAAATGTCAATAACATTGTCTACCAAATGAAACATGATTGAACTTGCAATCTCAAACACCAAAAAAGGACTTTTGTCTCTTAATCTTCGAAAATGTTCCTGTCTCAGAAAAATAGGTGCTTTGAGTTCCGTCTGAATATGCCTGAGGATTCGATAGCTCAATCCCTTGTACTGGTGTGAAGGCAAAACTCGAACTCATCAGGCCTGATATGGCTGCTGCACCATTGCTTCCATAACTCTTCACCTTGGAAATCTTTGCTATTTTCTTGTTCTGACGAGCTGATACACGCAACTTGCCACTTCCAGCCTGACCAAGCATGCCATAGCCCACCCCTAATCCATCCCCTAACGAGCTTTCTTCAGGTACCCCGAACTTCACCCTATTCCTCAGCTTCTGCGCGTCTGTAACCTGATATCTATCTTTCCTCTTACTATGCCGAATACCACCTCTCTGCTTCTTAGACCTAAAATCAGGAACTGGAAGAGGCTTTGGCAGCCTTGCAGGAGGTAGCTCTTGCAATTTCTCTATCGTTTTACAAATCTCTTCCTTAAAATTGAATATTCCTGCTTTGTTCAAGTCCATACGTGCTGCTAGAATAGCTTTATTCGCCAGCATTCTACAAACTTTCACCCTTAACGAAGGAGGTGTACTCTGAAATATATCTGTTTCCTCAATATAACAAAATCGCGAAGCACTAGCTGTGGAAAACCCTGCTAAATTCTTCCTTTTACCACCCAGATTCCTCACATTATCAGCAGGCATATTCGCCAACAACGATAAACCACCAGCAGAACACATAAGTTTCGCAGCAACTGCACTCCCAACAACACCAGACATATTAGGAGCAATATCATTCATTCGACTCTCAACAAAATCAACAACCTTCTTCTTCGAAGAATCAAGAGCTAGGGTTCTATCACATGCTTCCAATGTCCTCTGTAAAACATCCTCCGGCAACGGCTTGCCACTAGTAGCTGACGCCGTAACAGAAACCACCATGATAATAGCTGAAGGTAACAATTCCTGCAAATCAACAAGAGTCAGATCCGTTTCGTTCCCAATTTTTTTAACAACCCTAGCATAATCAATTGGATGATTAACAAGTGAATCTAACTCAGGAAACTTCAATCGATACTTATCACGTATAAAATTGTGGATTATAGCAATTTCATCCTCAATTTCAACAGATAATGCGTTACAATCTTCTATCAACTTATATTTGTGATCATCTTCTTCAACAATAACATCACCTTTATTCGCTGAAATTATGGCATCTTCAACTTTCTGCATTATATCAATGTAGTTACGTGACTTTTGCAGCATCGAAACATTATCTAGATCGTAATTGAACGCCTTTCCATGAACATAATGTGTATTATCGGACAATTCGTCTAATTCCTCCAAATCTGCCATGAATGAATCAAGAGCTGCCATTATTCGATTTGTTACTGCAAATTAAACACAATCTGTTCTGATTATCAGAAAAATCTGCAAAAAATTAAACCTATAGATTAATTTTAGTTATTGGGCTTTTTATAGCAATATTTTGTTTCTGAGTTTGTATAGGAATTAGCGTGTTTTTTCCGAATTTAGTTAGGATTTTAGAATAATTTTGTGTATCTTGTTTGTAATCTTAATTAGCCTCTTTTAAGTATTATGTTAGCAGTTTTGGTCCTTTAAGTTTGTCAAAATTTAGCATTTTTGATCCATGTCAAACATTTACCAAAATTTGATGCCTTTAACCAGAATTGTGGGCGGAAATATAAACGCTAGAAATCTCCGTCAAAGTCTCAAAACCTACCTCAGTCACAAAAAATAATATACTCAATATATATTTTTATATGTCTTAACTAGCGAATGTAATTATTTTCAATCGATTGATTAAATATGTAACTTATTTAGATCAGAACTCTTTTGAGAATTTCCATCATCAGATGATTACCTAAAAATTAATATTACATCATTAAAGATTGAACTAAAAGGATAAGACAAGTTTACAAAGACGTATGGAAATAAATGTCAGGTATACTTAATTTCAAACTAGAAATTTATAGAGCATTGACATGTATGTGTTGCTAAAAACATTTTTTTCATGCCCTTTTGTCCACCCTTTGTGTATCATTGACATTATGAATGTCCTAGATAGAAGTAGACCCACGTGAAAACATGAGGCACACGTGTACATATTAGCTTCAGAAAAAAATATGTATATATAAAATGAATTATATATAACGTGAATATGAGCTAGTTGAATCAGTAATTTTAGATACCAAATAGTTAATGTTATACTATGACAAGATACTCTATTCGTGATCGTCATAAAGTACTTATCATATTTCGTTTCTCAACAGTTAAATTACATGAATTAAAAGCAATATTTTAAGATGCATTTTTTATTAATATTATATTAATACGAGAAGGATCATAATTTATAATACTTTCCGTATAGTTTTGAAATATATATAAAAAAAATAATTTTAAAATATAGTCAAATTAACTTTTGAAAAGTAAAACATAACAAATATTTTGAAACGAAGGGGTAGGTAATTGGAAATGAAATGAATGCAATAGTACATTACATTGTCTACCAACAACCTTGGAATAGTCATAGTATATCTAATTTGGGTAAAAATCTATTGCATTGTCTTTGATAGTTGAAAGTTGGAACTAGTTAATTACTAGGTACAAAAATAAATTATGTTAGTTGGGTCATGGGTACCAGAAAACTCAAAGTTGATATTGCATATATTAGACTATAGAATATAATGGAATTATTACATATATATTTTTATGAGTTGATGTGTAGACATGTAGTCATTAAATTAATACAAATTACTTGTATAAATTGACAACCACATGTGAGTCAAATTAGTTTTGCTTTGAACAAAAGTCCTAAACCTCCCTCTTGTTTGAAATTTCAAAAATATTCATCCAATTGATTAACAATATACTCCAAGAGATCATTTATTTTAGTTTGCACCAATTTACACGATTTAATTGAGGCCAAGATTTATGTCCTCTTTCACGTAATTAATAAATACAAGTTGGAATCGGACCCATCTCCTTCGTTATAATGACGAATCTTTTTTAAAATAGACATAAAATAGTTATAACAATATTATTATTTTTGTTTCCTATCCTAAGTTTGAGATTTACATTGAGGTCAGACTAAATCTAAATTCACATAAATTTTTAGAAGTGGCGCTCCGAGCATAATATTTTTCATTAATAATATCCAATATTTATTGAATTCCAACATCTTCTTGTGAGTATTATTTCTAGATCCGGATCTTGCACATTATTTGTAACACGTTTTTTATTTTATCAAAAATATGATTCTACATTAGAATATATTAGTATTGAACTTTCGTTTGCTTTATGGCACATGCACTCAAGAAGTGCATCGACAGATTTATAGATCTAAATTAAATTAATTTAAAACTTAAATTTGAATATTTTAAAAATATGTAAAATAATAATACAAGTTACTTCTTTTTATATTAATATGTGATAAAAAGTACATTTTAAAATATTAATCTAGAAGGAATATGTTTTCTATATTTTTGTCCTATCTTCTATAACTATTTTAAAACAAACTACATTTTAAATATTAATCTAGATGGAATATAAATAAAAAAATACTTACCATTACGACATAGTCTTTAAGGTGAAATTAAATACATTTACTTCACTTATCTTATCATCATTGGTATTGTATTTTCCGTTTATTATATGCAATACTTTAAAACCTAATGATGTCATTTTAGATAAAAATTATTTCTCTATTATAAATGAAAAGATACTTACAAGTTACAATCACAACATCACCTTTAAATGTGAGTGTAAATATATTTACTTCTCTTGTTTTATTATCATTGGCATTATGTAATTAGTTGGGATATCACTTTGGGCTAAAAATGCTTCCTCTCAAGGATGGTAAGATATTTATTTTCAACACAATCTCTTTCCCTCAAGTAGAGCTGTCAAAATGGGCTGGCCCAACCCAACTCAACCCAATTCTAACGGGCTAGAGAGTTAAATGGGTTGGGACGGGTTGATCATTTTAATTAAATGGCCTATAAAATAGCAGCCTAATCTAGCCCTAAGCGGGCCACGGGTTGGGACGGGTTGGCCCTTCAACCAAAAAATGAACAATATTACTCTCTTAGAAAGAGTATCCAAGAGTATCGAACGTTGACGTTTATGAACACGACATCAATACATACAAATTTTCATTTATAAATCACACACTTCGGTGAATACTTACAAAAATACATTTATGAATCACACACTTCGGTGAATACATACAAAAATACATAATAATCAACGTAAGATTTAGCGAAAAAATATTGATCATTCCACCATTCCTCCCACAAAAACTAGCTACTTTAAAAGACTTGATTTTTTATTTTTAAAAATATTTATTGATAAAAACTTTACAAATAAGACACTACTAAAAATATATATAAAAAATATTTTTAAATATTCATAGTCCACGGGCTGGCCTCTGAGGCTTGCGGGTTGGGCCTACGAGGAGGGCGGACCAAATGAGATTGGGCTAAAAAGTCTCGTTCTTAAATGAGCCAAAAAAATTAGGCCCAACCCAACTTAATTCAAGAGTTTGATTGGGCCGGCCTAGCGGGCCAAACCCATTTTGACAGCTCTACCTCAAGGATGGTAAGATATTTATTTCATGGTGCTAGTAAATATTTACCTGTCGTCTTATTATCATGTTATTATAATGTATTAATTCAAAAATAAAAATTCTTTTTTGTCCACTAAAATACTTTTTTTCTGTTTTACTTTGTATATGAACTATCAATTTCCTAAATCAATTACCAATTCTTTTAAAATGTTAATATCAAGAATATTACACAATAGAATATCCTCTTCAATTTATTCTCTTAAAGAACGTACAGTGATAATTGTGAATAATAAGTAAAAATAAATAAGAGATGACTAATTAATTATTTTTATATTTTAATTTGTTTATTTTATTTTGACTTAACATAAAATTTTAAAAAATAAACAAGATTTTTAAAACTTGTAATTTTAAATTAAAAATATGTAAAATATATTTTTTAATTTCATGATCTAAATATATCGCGTAAAAAAAATTGAATCAAAGAGTTATACAAAAAAGAAAAAGAACATTTTTTTTTAAAAATAATTAAAAAGAAAAGTAAAATAAACAAATTGAAACGAAGAGAGTAATAATTTTTCATGTTTGAACTTATATTACAAACTTATGACAACTAAATGAAGAAAATCTTAATGTAACTATAAAATTATTATCATGTCACTAAAAAATCACTAATTTGAGCTATGAAAATAATCTCTTAGGAATCGTTTGGTTGGGAACAAATTATTCCTAAATTATCCTCATGAAATTATCTATCCTAGGATAACTTATCCCATCATCATGTATAAACGGTATGATAAATTATCCAAACTTAGCAACCAAACAACACACCAAAGTTTTATCCCTAAATTAACTTTTTATCGTAGGACTATTGACTTTTAACCCGCACACCAAACAATAGACTTTATAGTTATCTTTCTTCGAACATGCACATAATAAAAACTTAATACATCGAACCATCTCGTTTTGCTGAGCTAGTCAAACCAAGGAAAATGGAAGGACTTTCTGCAAATTTACGTTCTCCCCAAGTCACCGTCTCCGTTATCTTTTTCTAAACGGAGTAACTTTTTACTGTTTACAGCGGCCACCGGCGGTGAAAA